CTTCGTATGTCTACGACTTAACTATGCAAGCTGAAATTGGTCTCCTGTCTGACTGGATTTCATTCATTGATTGGCTATTGAGAAGAAATCAACTTTAAGTTGTCTAGTCCAAAGTGCTGACCGAATAAGAATAATTAGTTAGCGGTAAAGTCAGTAGGTAAGGAGACTCACCATTCAGTCAGTCCTACATATGGTCAATCGCAGCTTGAATGGCCCAGTGGTGACGTCAGTGACTTCATTAATGGGTGGCGCTGGTTCAGATCTCTAGCTGAACATCAGTTCCATCAAGGTTGCAGATACTCCTTGCTGACGAGTCCTAAAAACCACGAAAGCTAGACCCAGAGCTTCCTATTGATTACCTCCAACCAAGTAAGATCTGTCAAAGTAACTCACCTTCGTGAACCTCCAAGTATGGTGGCCAAATTGCAAGATGATTGATAGAATTCAAGCTGTTATTCATCGTAGACTGACATCAGTTGGAGAAACAAAGGAAACCTGGGAGTAGTCGATAGCTAGTATTGGACTCCTCAGCAGTGGGCACCCACGACGCCGCCCTCCAGGGATCAAACCTGCGACCTTCAGGTTCCGTGGCCAGCACGTTACCATTGAGCTGGCCACTGGGTCAGAATCCAATCGTCCATCTTTCCAACTTCTGTTAGCCCACGATATAGTGTAACCGCCACCCAATGTCATCGTTGAGTAACTATCGCCACGACCATCAGGCTTTGCCCCCCACTGGTCACGACTTCTAATTGGAACTTCAGGAATGCCTCTCAAAGCTAGTCAGCACTGCTGTCTTATGAACAACCGATGTAAATTTACTATCTTGCGTGTTGATCAAGTTGTTCTCAACAGTGAAACATGTCATTGAATAAAAGTTAAAATCTTCTCTAATAATTTGTTGGTTTTCATGTCTTATTCCGTAGAAAACCATTGTAAATTGAAAAATATTCGAAGATAATTCAATCGCTTCATACTTATGTAACAGAATACTTCTGATATCATGAACACTTCAAGGGAGAACAGTATTCCCTTTTCGCTTCATCTAAATGATCATACATGATGCCCACAAGCTCTCGTTTCCTCCTCACACCATCTCCTTCATGTCACTCTCAGCTAGCACGCCTAACTCGTCGCTTCCCATCGAGGTTCCTCTCCACTGTCTGGCGCATGATGTCCCTCAATGGTCTTCTCAGTGCATGCCCAATCCATCTCCCTCCACTTCCTTATACTGCATATATTTCGAGCAATATATTCTTCGTTGGTTGTTTCGTTGACAGCCAGCCACAGTTCCTTGTTGCTTATTCTCAGTATTCTGGTCATCTGATCTTCGGTAACGAGCCAGCATAGGCAGTTGTTGATGAATGTCTGAAGTTTGTTCGAAATGTTTCTCGTAACCCGCCAAGTCTCCGAGACATACAGAAGCACTGACTTGACTGACATTAGTGTTGAAAATCGGGATGTTGTTGTTTGTGCTGAGTGCAGAAGGTCTCCACATTGGTTTCAGTCTAATGAAGGCCTGTCTTGCTGTCTTTCCGATCCTGGCTACTGTGACGTCCTCGTCTGTGCCTGTGGCGCCTGTAGTTGAAACGATGCTGCCTAGATAGATGAAAGAGGCTTCTTCCTTTACATTTCTCCCGTTCACGGTGATTGCAGCTTCTTCTTCTTCTTCTTCTTCTTCTTCTTCTTCTTGGTCGAGTATCATCACCACCTCTGTCCTCTACATTCACTTCAAGTCCCGTATTCGCTACCTCACCTCTTCTGTCAACTTGTTTGTTTTCGTCTGTAGATCTTCGAGTTTGTGTTACAAGACATTAGACACAGGTCATCAATCGGTGAAATCCAAATCTTATAGGATCTCTACCCCAGTGCAGTACAGTCCAGCCAGTCTATCCCCCTCTTCTCTCTCCTCACGGTCTCTTGCATGATCCAGTTCTGTCGACCACAATCAGGAATATCATGGGTGATAGTAGGCGGTAGCCTTGTCTTACTCCTGTCTTCATTTCGAAGGCGTCACTCAGCTTCCCATTGTGAATCCCCAGCATGTTGTGTCTTCACATAGTGGTTGAATGAGACTGATAAATGTTTGTGGTATTCCGTAGTGTTGAAGCAACTTCCAAATTACTTGTTGGTCGACGCTGTCAAAAGCCTTTTCACAGTCGATGAAGTTGAGGTAGAGTTGAGTTGAGTTGACTGCCATTCTATATTCTGTTCTATGATGATGCTTAGCCGTGCGTTGCAATTTGATCTGCACATGATTTGTACTTCCTGAATCCAGTCTGTTCCAGTTGTAGTTTTTAATCGAGCGCATGCTTTAGTTTTTCTATGATGATGCGGCTCAATATTTTGCTTTGGGTTGACAGGAGCGTGATCCTGCGCCAGTTCTTGTAAAGGCTTAGGTCGCCCTTTTTCGGTAGTTTGACAAGCCAGCCCTTCTTCCAATCACCCGGTACCTTCCCTTTTTTAGATTAGAAATTCTGCACCCTCAGGATGATCAAGATGAAAATAGTGAAAATATTCTATCAACGATTATATATACCTACTCGTCCTATCATCTTTAGAGAAGAAATTTAATGCATTCAGATAGATCTTCTTCTGAAATAATATGAAACTTTACACAACACCTATCAGGTCTTGTTTTATGTCTGTGGACTTTTCTTGACTACTTTATAATCCATAGTAGAAAATTGGAAGGCTGATTGAAGTCAAAATATTCAGTGACATTAGGTTTCTATGAATCACATCTATCCTGTAGGAAGTTTTAGTAAAACAACATTAAACGGGCTTCTTCACCTTCAAACTACTCGACTAAGAATAACTCTCAAGAACATCAAAAATTAGTAACAACTAATACTCAGTGTACAATAGATGGTTTTCGTGTCTCATTGGCATAATAGATAACGCCTTAGAGTTCGAAGTGATGGGTATGAGGTTCGACTTTCAATGGGGTTAAATTAATTCAGCTGATGAGTGCTAAATGGGGTGAAATGCATATCCTGCATTCGTTTGCTAGTCACAATCAGGTAAATTACCATGATAAGTATTTGGGCAATATCGAGACGTCTGACCATGTACTAATAGAGGTCGAACGATCGATCCGCAAATTCTCGTGATCTTATTCTCACAACTTAATTCATTCATAATTTTATGCACATTTCTTTGGTTAAATAAATTATTCTAACAAAGTGATTTCAAGATGGCTAAGATGAAAGTTCAAGGTCATGTGTTCATTGATCAGTTAAAACAACACTAACATTGGCGTCATGTTTACTTTAGAAAGTAAATATTCAATCTAATGATGATTACCTACTTCAAATTATTCTACATCCTATGACTCATACAACCCAAAGGTATATTAATACAATCAAAAGAGTTTTAAATAGAAAGAAATAACAATAAATAAACAACTCAGAGACATGAATTGAACATTGAATGTTCATAGGTTGGTTAATTGCTTTGTGAATATTGCTTCTCGTTTACTCGAAATCGACTATCAGGCCTAATGATAAAGTAGGGGTTAGTCAGATGTTTGCAAGATCATGCGTGATAACTGATGTTAATCTAAGCTATATCTTTTCAATGTAATAAATTGTTATAATCAAGTAAATGGTATGCGTGTGCGCGCGCGCGTGTTTAAACGTGATGTCGATCGACATATAATTTCCGTTAATTAGGCTAGACGTGAATAACCTAATCTCTTACATTACTTCCTGTATATGCCATTAACAAAATGAAGTGCGAAGAATAGACAAATATGTCGAAATAAGCAGTAGAAATTAAGTCAAATTTATCTCACTAACAAAACTTTAAACTGACGTAAAACTATATCATCATACCATAATGACATTTAGTTGAATCGCTAGTCTACACTTTAAGAACAGAGAAGAAAAATGATCCTAGAGATTTACTTGACATATCACGAGATAAACCTGAAAAAACTGCCTTTCAAAAAGATCATAGTCTCAATGGAATCTTTCACAATTCAGTTGTTCAATATGGTATCCTTAGCTAAGCGTCGATCGGTATCCACCTTTATTTTTTTCGTATAGCACAAAGAAATCAGGTTAATTGGTTAAAGGATTTCAATAATCAGAATGAAAGAAATATCCTTTAGCGATGGATTACTTTGAAGGAAATAAAAGGTAAATAATGACCTTCAAAAAAACCAATCAGAGGTTTTCAAGTCTGGAAGTAAGGTTCAGAAATAATGATTTTTAAATAAATATAATTTATAGTAGAGATGGATAGCGGCGCCAGCAGTGGAATCCAGGATGCGCATTTTGTCCTACTTGGGACTCATCAGCTGGATGTACCTGCTCCCCAGTGAGTAATGTGGTTCCCACCGGGATTTGGGCTCGGGAGTGATCGCTTCAAACGCCAGTGCACTATCCACTACACCAGTGAGCCACGATAGCCGCTTCTTATGTGACGGGTATAGTTTTATTGTTATTGCTTGCATTATACCGTCGTTGATTGGATCGAATTGATCATTCTCTATTGGCATATGAGGTCCTGTGCGGACACCTCGATAGTACCTGTATAGTTCTAGTTATAGTAGAGATAGATATGGCTAGCAGTGGAATCCATTTTTACTGTAACTAGAACACAGGAAATATCGAGGCATCTGCACAGAAGCCCATATGCCAATAGAGACCAAGTCCTGGTGGGAACAACATCACTCATGGGAGGCAGGTACATCCAGTTGACGAGTCTCAAATAGAACGAAATGCGCATCCTGGATTCTACTACTAACCATTACCCATCATTATATGCAACTGGAACACAGGCAATAACGAGGCACCCACATAGGACCTCATATGCCAACAGAGACTTATCAATTCGGTCCAATTAACGACGGTGTAATACAAGCAATAACACTAGGTATAATTTACTTTGAAACAATGACCAGATCTTAAAAAAAGCATTTCTTTTTTACTTTGTTTTAATCTATCACTTAATATCGGTTGGTGGGGATATTTTCTTCTGATAATGGATACCAGTTATTCCCTACTGGTTTTCTGCTGCTAAATCGTTTGGGAATAAAAAAGCTGTTTTGGTAAGTATGAAATAACCGAAGTTTTGAAAGTTTTCAATGATATAATTCACTAACTAGTTCATGTTATATTTGTTATAAATGAATAATGTTTTATTATTGGCCAGTAGAATAAGGTCATCATTTCGTGGAATAAAACACCTTAGGTTACACGGGGATCGACTGTTTTCAAGGTCACCTTCATCATTGACTGACATCAATTAAGAAAATGTTGATAAGTGAAGAGCATTGGGAATTGATGTCTTTCTACTTTGCATCTCGTCAATGATAGGTAACGGAATGAGCCGGAGACCAGGGTGCTACCATTCACCTATTATATATTATTATTATTATTATTATTATTTGTCCTCTGAATTCCTACTGGGACATATGGCTGCAATAGCACGTTGCTATTGCACTGTCTTTTCTCCAGTCCCCTCAACTGGCTCCACCACTATCCAGAAGCTGCTTACATTTCTTCTTCATATCATCTCCTCGAAATCACCCTTGTTCCAGACGCCCAAGCCGTCGTTTCCCATTTGGGTTACACCCAACGACCTGGCCTGTCGCGTGATGTCCCCGGTCGGTCTTATCAGTATATGCACAATCCATTTCCACTTTCCTCAACTGCATATTTCTTAGGTGATGGGCTCTTGGTTGGTTCGTTGCAAGAGTTCCTTATTGCTTATTCTTTCTGGCCATCTGATCTGATCTGATCTGATCGAGTGAGCATAAGTGGCAGGTGTTGATTATTGTCTATAGTTTGTTGAAAATGCTTTTCGTAAGGCGCCAAATCTCTCAACCACTGCCTTACTCGATTGACATTCGTGTTGAAAATTCACATCTTGTTCACACTTTATATTGAGTGCAGTAGATCTCAACACTGACTGGTTTCAGATTAATGCAGAAAGGCCTGTCTTGCTGTCTTTCCGATCCTGGCTTTGATGTCCTCCCCTGTACCACCTGCATTTGAAACGATGCTGCCCTGCCTAGGTAGCTGAGGGTAACAACTTTCTCCAGCTAATGTGTCGGAAATTAATCACAAAGTCCATATATTTCAACTTCTCTCAGTTGACAATATAGCATAAACAACGTTCAGTGCCAACTCACAGAATCTCTCCTATGTCCAACCCCTGGTAGCGTTGTCTATGTATACTGCTCAGAAGTACTTTATGATAGGACATCTACCAAGTTCTCACAGTTTGTCAATGCTACTTCATTTGAAAATCGAAGTCCACGCAGCAACCACATGCACATTCATGCACTAAGTAGTGGTTCAAATCTATTTTGTGAGGGTAACAGATACTACCTGTCTGCCAAAACTGAAGTTGTTAAGGCAGATTTCGAACTCATGACCTGAAAACTGAGGACCTAAATCAGTGACCTACAGCTCTTGAGATCAAAACCAGATTACGTAATGTAAGGTAATGGAGGTATTCAAAAAGGTGATTCATTCAACAAGAAGAGAACATCTGATGCTTGTTATTACCACAATGAAAGTGAGTAACACTACACCACTGAACGGTGCACAGAATAAGTAGCATATTAAAATCGGACAATGCTTAAATTAAATTAACCAGACCAAGAGAATGGTACTATCATGGTTTGAAACAGAAAATTAAGGATTTCTTCATATGATGTTTCGTTTTCTAAGTATGGATGTTTAGCCGAAATTGGTTTGTGGGTAATGACCCGAGATTATTCTGAAGGAAGCAGATACTTTTCACTTTCTGCAAACAATGCAGAGATATCACATACCACCGGACGGTTAAACATTTTACGGGAAGATATGTTTATTTCCTTAGCAATGGCAACAGAAAATATTTAGCAGTGAGACTTTGCCTACTCATGAGTAGTTGAAAATTATTTTAAAAAGTTAACAGCTGTCTATGAGAATAGCCTTCATTTTTTAATGGAAAGTAGATTGATTTTTAGGGCGTGAAATTATCCACAAATCTTCTGCATTCACTTCATTTTTCTTAGATTTTGGGTCATTGAATACCTTTAATTTATTCTAACTTAGTAGACTGCTAATGAGACTATCTAAGATATCATACCGTCGTTGTTTGGACTGAATTGATCGGTGGCGTAGTGCATAAGGTCCTGGAGTTTGAAATGATCGCTCGCAAGTCCGAATCCCAGTGGGAACAACATCACTCACTGGGTGCCAGATACATCGAGCTGACCAGTCCCAAGTAGGCCAAAATACGCATCCTGGATTTCACTGCTAGCCACGATCCATCATTAACATATCCGAGATATCCATCATGCACCAAACTGTTGGTATTGGATATTGGATCACGACAGGAAACAAATCTGTAACCTCCATTTGGAGAACCACTGAAGATTCCGGGTCACTGGGCAGCTGTTTAATCTCAGCGTGAAATACCTCAGAAGTGAGTGCACCCACAACCCACCTGGAACAGAGCCCAGAAATCTAGGCTTCTTGGAGGTCACTTTACCCTGAAGCCATTGGGTTACAGTCCATTGAGATGTTTACCACAAGATCTGTAGGTCTTACATTTGGTCTACGGTGTGGTCATTAGTGTGTACTGCTAATGATGAAGTGCTTCAACAATCTAAACAGATAAACTGTGTCAAAAAGAAACCAGTGGAACATAACGAAACCAAGGCAAGGTAAACAGGTTAAGATTATAACAAGGTGTTCAAGAAAAGATACAGCATTAGAAAAATGTCAAATTGGGCTCAAAACTGATGAGATATGAAAGATATTTAACACTCTGATATGCCAAAATGATGCATAAGTTTAGATTATGACAGAAATGTGTGTTTAAAGAAAGTAACATTTTGGACAAATGATCAGGCTACTCAAAAAATAGTAAGTAGTATAAAACAGATCGCACAAAACTTGACAGAAGAGTAACAAATGAGGAAATTAAGACGAAATTGGAAAAGAATCGACATGAATTATTTCCTAAATAACAGTTCTTTCTCATAAAGTGTTGATAAATTCCGTAAGTTATTGGTACAAAATAGTAAAGTGGAAGAACCATATCAGAATAGGTGAAATTCCCTACTATTGGGAAAAAAATTACTGGTACGACCTTATTTCAACTAAACTATTAGATGACACATTCCAGACACATATCCTGGTATTTTAGGTACCATTTACGGAGTGTCTAGTAAGTTTTATAGCCTGATGGTCAACTTAGTTGCGTTTAGTTGAGTTCTTTGGCGAATAATTTGATCACTTCTTGAAATACATTGAATATTCCCAATTAGACATTTAGAAAGAAGACTGATTGAGTGAAGATATACATATCTTTTCAATTGAGTCTTCATCTTGGCCTGAACACTAATATACAGTTTTACAATTTAATCAAACTACGAATCATGTGGTGATATTTTAGAAATAAAGATGTAACTAACCCATAAAGTTACTAAAATTGGAAATATGTAACAGGTTATTCTTAGGTAAATGGAGTGATTTTTCAGGCATTCACCATAAGTGATTGCGTAATAATAAGGAAACAAATGAATGGTGAAGAATATTTGTAGCTCAGATGGATGGTCTTGGTTGTATTGTGTTCTCTGATCTGAGTCGTTTAATCGTGGCGACACTTTCCTCGTCTTGCTAGACAGTGACATCATTAGCACTAACTCCAAGATAAAGTAAGCTGTCAATATCTCCCCTGACTGCGTAATTTAGTAACTGCCCTGACCAACTAGTTCCTGATTGGTTGCGACACTGACAGACCTTATAGATTTTCCAATTTGCTGTTCCTCTGCTTGACCTCTGACCTTTCTGTAGTTCAGCATTTTTCTAATTGGTTGGTAGGTCGGGATTATGTCTAAACATCTGTTGATTGCTGACTGACTGACTGACCGACCGACTTGAATGTCAAGCTTCTAGGAATTCTCTGATATTTTTGGTATCTCCTCTCCCGTCTAAGATTCCTACGTTGTCATAATTGAATTCATGTCCATAGTTGTTATCCACATGGATTAAAATGATTGATGAAATGTCGTATGTGACGTTTAATAGCCAATCGGTGTTGATGTAGACGAAGACGAAGGTGGGCGACTACACTTTGTCCAGTGTAGCGTTGACTACAGTAAGTTATTCCAGTTGATTTTGTAAATGATATTCGGTTTGTCTTCTTTGGTCTGCATAATAGTGTTTGGAGGGAATTTGTTGGTTTATGAGCCAAACCATGTACAATTGGTTACTGAAACCATTTCATCACTCTTTGATCTATCCATGTGGATAACAACTATGGAGGTGACTTCAATCTCGACAATGTAGAATTCCTAGAAGTTTGACATTCAAGTCAGTTGGTCAATTAGTCAGCAATCAACAGATGTATAGACATAGACCCAACCTATCAACCATTAAGAAAAATGATAAACCACAGAAAGGTGAGAGGTGTGAAACAGAGGAACAGTCAACAAGAAAGTCTATTCAGTCAGTCAGTGACACAACAATCAAAGGAAATAACCAATCACAAACTAGTTCACCGAAGTAGGAACCTACTAAATCACTCAGTCAGGGAGAGATATTGACAGCTCACTTCATCTCGAAGTTAGTCCTGATGATGTCACTGTCTAGAGAGACGATGAAAGCGTCTTTACAAATAAACAGAAAACACAATACAACCAAAACCAAATGAATATTGATAGAAACAGGAAGAAGGCGAGGAGGTGTATAAAGTAATACTAGAAGTTAAATCATACTGACGGCCACGGTACTGAAAGTTGGTCGAACAAACTTCTTTTGAATACAAAGGTTAGATGTGTTTGTAAAGGTGTATTGCAATCACCTCTGCTATGTGAAGTAACCGAGTGCGTAATTCATAAGGTGAATTAACTGGCATCTGATAGATGATTTTGAAAGCTTTTCTACTGTCCACTTTATGCCAAGTGTCAAGTAGATGCGCCTTGCTCAACCATGATGGCTGGTGTTCAGAAATTCGAAGATAAAACTGCTTCATTGCATGCCCAACATAACCAGCTCTATATGAGCTGTTAAACTGATGAATGCACATGAAAGTGGCAGGATCAGG